AAAGGTTCCTAAAGTCACTACCACTTAGAATGGGCCTACAGGGTCACACACCAATAGGGATGGACTTATACGTGAAGAATACGAAGAATGGAAACGAGATTTGACCGAAACGAGCATGAAAAGGAGTTTTCAGTGTGTTGGTCCGGAGCTGACCAAACTTGGTCAGCCCCGGACCACGTTTGGTCAGTCCGGGAGGTCCAAAAGCTCGGTCCGCGGTCATCTGTCCAGGCCTGGTCCGGTTGGTTAGCCGCTGACCAGATTCTGGGACAGGCGGACCGAGACTGAGGCCAGGCGGACCGAAAGACCGAGAAGGGTCTTGTTCCGGAGCTGACCACACTTGGTCAGCCGGACCGAGCCTTCAGGTCAGCCGGTCCGCGTGCTTCGGACTAAGCCTTGTCCGCCGGACCGGGATCTGAAAATTTCCATAATTCGAATTTTAGGGTTTTCCAATCTTATTTAAGTTTAGGGTTTTCGTCCAAACTTAAAGAGAGCCGACCTAAAACTCAGAGAAACACCCTAGAAACCTAGAGAAGCTGTTCTCTTGGATTTCTATTGTCCCAGGATTGGATCTCGTCTCTTGAGTTACCCTTTTCTTCACTAACCCTAGCAGATTCGTTCCAAATAGTTTGGAATCCTTCCCGTCGGTGTGGATACGTGTAGAGGGACTGTAACTTCAGTCCTAGGTGGTTTAGAACAGGCCCCGGATCGAAATAAACTTCAAGTCTCATCGAGAACGAGGTAAGTAACGATTCCCTCGGTGATATACACGATCTTTCGGTTTTTGTGAGTTTGGTTGCGTGTGACGTTTGACTAGGTTTAGATTTTTCTTCCGCTGCATGAAACCTAGTAAACCAAACCCTAGATCGATATGATAGCATGCTAGGAACTCGTAGATTTCCCAATAGTGGTATTAGAGCCTGGTTCTCTGTATATCGCCGTGCCTGTTGCATGATTGCATGATTTAATCGTTAAATTGCATGTAATCATTGAATCTATGCATGTTTAATGATATTTGTGATTGTTGAATGATGCATGGATGGTATGGAGTCTGGGACGGGTTAACGGTGCGTCGAAACAGGGATAAAACCCTAATTTTCGAAGCCCGAAAAAATCTGTTCCGAATCTGATTTGTCCGCGGTCAGCCGGACCAAGAGTTGGTCAGCCGGACCAGCAGATAGATCAGATTCCGGACCGCGTGTTTGGTCAGGAGGACCAAAATTCTCGCTGGTCAGCCCCGGACCAAGAGTTGGTCCGGCGGACCAGTCGAGAACAACACGGGTCCGAGACGGACCGGCGGACTGACCAGGGAAAAGCACCGAGTTGGTCCGGAGCTGACCAAGTTGGTCAGCCCCGGACCAAAACCAGAAATCTGTGCTCCGATTCCAGGTCAGCCGGACCAGGGAAACGGACCGAGTTGGTCCGGAGCTGACCAAATTTGGTCAGCCCCGGACCAAGCTCAGAATTTCTCCGAAAACGGACAGAACGGCAGACCAGAGAAGCTGACCAAGGTCAGTCCGGCGGACCAGATTTGCATCTATTATCTGTGTTAGTAAGTGTACTAAGCGACTTGCATATTTTCTGTCTGTTTGTTTGTCTTTTTCTGTAGTATATAACTGTTGTAGGAATCTGGTTAATCTCACCATGCGATCTATCCTTATGAAGGATAAGCCTCTGACCAAGGCTTCTGGATCGATCATTGATGCT